AGGTCTGAGTGAGAGTCTTCTTTCACATTTGGTTGCCCTATCCTTTCCTCTTTTCTGCACATGGAGGTCTATATTAAGACTCACTTTATCTGATGTCAAAGTGAAAGGCAGGATCATTACATTTTTGTAAGCATTATATTTAGGCTGAGTAGAAAATAGGAAGAATCTGCATGTTTTCAGGAGCAGAGGCCCCAGAAGTACTTGTTTTATTCCAAGGCTCTATTTTGAATCTGTTGAGGGTTCTTTGTGTCATTTTTTGTTTTATAGATGTGGGACTTGGAGGAAGGCTTGTTTCGTAGTGGTACAGAATAATTCAGTTTAAGATTATAGCTCAGTACAGACAAAGTAGCTACTAGGAAATAAAACAGTTCTTCGAGCGTTGTAGTCACCCCAAAGCCTAAGGATTCCTGAAAGCCAACTCCACTGGAGCCTTCGCACAAAGCTGCATCTCACCCTCAGGACCCAGCCACATCAGTTCTCCTTTGCTGCACAGGGACAGCTAAAGGTGACTCTAGTCTCTGACACCAACCAGCCAGCTGTGCTCTTTTCGGTTGGTTCCATCTGGACCCTCTGCTGCCTGAGAGGAGCTGATATGAGGAAGCAACTGCTTTGTTCAGTTACTGCCGTTGTCTCCTGAATCATCCTGAAAGTAAACTCCTGAACAAGCTCAGCAAAGTGCTCTCTCTTTTGATTGTAGACACTGTGACATGCTTCTGAACTGCTTCTGGCACACCACCCCATCATCTCCTCAGCATCTGGTTGGTTAAGAAACCAGCAAACACCCCCCCGCCCATTTTTGTTGTGAGCTAGAGAATACACAATGTGGTGCTGATATAATGGGAAGAAATTATAAGCAAGGAAGCACTCACAACACATCATGCTTGTCTTGCTGTAAGAGGAACATCCTACACGATGGATCTGCAGACAAGAGTGTTTATATTTGAGCTAGTTTAAAATAACCAGCCTAGATGTAGCTCCAACATCACAGGCTGCAAAAGCTACCCCAGCTTCTGGCTAAGCACCAAAGCAAGCTGCCCATGATGAGCATTATGTTGCTGTAGCTACACTAACACCAGTACCCAAGTCAGCATCAGCTAAGTTACCCAGGTATGGCCACTGAAGTTGAAAATAAATGGCTAGACTAAGAAAGAAACAGGACAGAGGGAGCTGCTGGCTCCTGGTGACTGGATGCACATTAGCTGAGATCAAAGGCTCACTGCCCCTGTGAGCCCCTCACTTGACTATAGCCCAAGAGAAGAAACTGGAGAAAAAGCCCACATCTCATTGAGAAAGATGAAGGTGAAGCAACAACCACAAGTTGTCCTCTTTCTTATAAGTTCTTGGTGATGCCTTGCATGTAGATGCAAAAATGGCAGGAATACTCTGCTCATTCTTGTAGAACTTCTTGAGGACTCTTCTCTTCATAAAGACACACAAAAAAAGATGAACGAGGTTGGGGTGGGGGAGCAAAAAGAAATCTTTTTTCACTGCCAATGTGGGACAGGACCTTTGAAGGCAGGTACAAACATTACTGGTTTTAGCCTAGTTATTTGTTTAAAAGGCTCATCATTCAAATGGGGACTAGAAGAAAAGATGGGGTGCTTCCTTCAAGCATGAGGCCATGTTCAACTCCTGATCAGCTCACCTCACTAGTCATTTGCTGCCATTTGAATGAACAAAGGGCATTTGCCCTGTTCTTGAAGTAGGAATGCCAATTAGCTTAACCAGTCAGAAATAAATACTGTATTTTTCAACTCAGTGCTCAAAGCTGGGAAAATGTGTCTGGTTCTGAATTCAGCA